TTCTTAAAAGCTTAATAAATAAATATTATAAGAAAACGTATATAATAAGATTTAAAATTATTTTAAGAAAAGGGTAAGAATAAGGGTTATAAAGAATAAAAAGAAGATATTATAAAAGATTTATTTTATATTTAACTTATCTTACCCTTATAAAGAAATAAAAATAAATAAATATAAAAGTAAAAAGAGAGTATAATACGCTTTATATAATTATTAGCTAAATATTAAGAGAGCTTAAGTAAGTAAAAAGGTATATTATAAGCTTAAGCTAATAACTTAAGCTTAAGTTAAACCTAATATAAAGATAACTTAAACTTAACTTAAATAATTTATAGGTTAAGTAAAAATATAAAGAGAGGTAAAAAAAGAGAAACCTTTCTTTCTTTTTCTCTTTCTTCTTAAGTTTATTCTTACTTTTTAAAGACGTATACTTATAGTAGTATAGTATAGCTAGTCTATAATAGTATGTGTTATTTATAAGTAAAAGCTATTACTTCTCTTTACTTAACCTAACTTTAATTTATTTAGCTTTAACTTAATACTTAAGTACCTTTATACTTACTCTAATAATAGGTAATTAATATATATTATTTATAAGTAAAGGCTATTACTCTTTTTTATTTAACTTAACCTTAACTTACCTAGCTCTAACCTAATACCTAAGCACCTTCGCGCTTACCCTAATATCTGTAAGGAAGAATAGACAGCTAGTGTAGCGTATCGTATCGTAGATCGATAGTAAGTGCCCCCCGTGTGCCTGGTATAAAGTTTCTTCGCCCGATTGCTACAGTGGGTACCCACTGTATGTAAAAGGACTATAAAAGAACGATCTAGGACACTCTCCCCGTGGTTATAAACCCCCCCCTGCGAGTTCTTTATTAGGGTTCCAGAATTAACTTTATCGCCTTACAATTTGAATTATTCATGGATAAATGCATATTATAATTAAGCCCTAACCGCCGTGTAGTAACAACAAGGCCTTGTGAGCTGCCTAGTGGGGTGGGGGTTGATGGGCGGCCTAGCTGTCGTTAGATGTTGAGCTACCGGGGATCGTTAAGTGTCACTCTCCGCCTAGGCAGATTTGCCCAGGATATCCGCCCTGAAAGCTGGCCAGAATGTTTCTTCTGCATCCTTCTTTAGCACCTGAAGGGAGGCAAAAAGCTTCAAAATTCCGGGCACGGTACGCGTATCTCCAATTTGTAATGCAGGTCGTACGAGCCTGGACACACCCTCCTCATCAAGGATAGACGGTATAAACTGCCAGTCGTGCCCATAGATGATGTAGCCAGAAAGAAACTTGATATTGGGCAGAGATTCATCATCCGCATTTCTTCCCCAGCGCAAGCTCCTCCACTGAGCCGAGTGCCAAGTGCCGATTTGGAGCACAGCGGCATCATATTGTTCTCCTTGACGCTTGACTTCGATTGATCCTGCTATTGGGTGCTTTCGCAATAATCCGCAATCTGTCTGATTGATCGAGTCGCCCGGGCGCATTCTCCGAATTTCGTCAATGATTCTTTGGTCGGATCGGTTTGGGCGAATGGTTAGGCACCAATCGACCATCTTGCTAGGTGCGTCTTTCGGTTTATACTCCGGGAGCAAAGCAGCATTAGTGCTAAGGCACTTTAGTTCAGGTGGTTCACACAAAAGGGCAAAGTGCATAGTCTCACCAATATTCGGACGAAAGGGAGCCCCTTTCGTTGTCACTACTCTCCGATAGCCATTGAAATATTCGCCCGTGGACCATATTCCAGGATGACTCTCCTTTTCCCTCGAGTTCACATTCACTAGCGCTCTTCATAATGTCGTCGATGAAATCAGCTTTAGGCCACCGCTGACAAGCACTCGGATCGTCACTAAAGAAGAAACACGGGAGATCGAAAGCCGCCATCTAGGACATGTAAGTAGAGATTTGGGCGTGGTAGGATGCTGGACGCACCTCATCCACTAGACCTAATGGCAAAATACCATCTCCAAGATAGGTCTTTCTCAATTTGCGGGAAAGCAACTGAAGTGATGGAGGCTGAGGATCGAACGCAAAACTGGATTGGCCAAAGCCTGTGGGCTGTAACTCGGCATGGAGAATCTGCTTCGTCGGGGATGAAGTACGTGAGTATTTGGTTACTTTAGATGCTCTCGAAGAGGATGCAGATAAATTGCTGAAATCGTCACGGTCGTCCGTAGAGATGGTCCGATTTGGTCGTGGCGTCAAGTCGGAAGATAGCTGTTCGTCGAGGCTCTCGTCCCGTAGGCGTTTAGCTGGTGAACTAGCCATGGGTAAAGATTTGGGAGCCGATGTAGAGACGGAAGGAGTGGGCAAATAGTCTCGGAACCCTTGAACAGAATGTTTCGTGTCGGTTGTGTTGAACTCCCTGTCGAGGCGTGCCCGTTTCGCAGCCGGGGGATTGTTGTGGTTGTGTTTGTCGGTGAATTTCTTTGTGCCGATATTAAGGTATTCAGGAGTAGATGAGCGCCATCTTAATATCCAAGCTACCGTATCATCGTCCATCATGTTGATGCGTGGGCATATTTAGAAACCCCAGTTGAGATTCGGCATCATGCAGTAGTGGTGAAAGGAAATGGCCATTAATAATTGGGTTGTAGAAGTAGCGACCAACTTCGGCGGGGAAGGGTTGGCCCAGTAACCGCCACTCTTCAGCAATACTTGTAGCGCATTAATGCTAAATTGATCGTAGTGGGGCATCCGCGACAGGCCTTTTCCCAAGAATAGATCCCAGCTTCTGCAAGGCAATTTTTCTCATTCACAGAAAGCCAGTTTTCCCCGGCACATGGGACCCGGCACGGCTGCGAACGTTCTAAGACCGCCTGAGTAACGTCGACACCTTGATCCTGTACTCAATGCGTCCATTCAGCTTTATCAACCTTCGTCAGCAGATTGGGAACTTAAAATGCTTAGACCCTCGAGATCGAATCTACGGGATCCCTAGCCAGCTTGAGACGGATCACATCAGCATCATACCGGATTATTTAAATCGGTAGCCGAAATCTACACAGATTATGTTACCGGTTAATAACGTAGTAGTAACTAATAACTACTTAGCAGTGTTATTAAGATTAAATTACTAGTAATCTTCTTTTTCGACAGACATTGCCACCCGCCTCATTTTCCGAGAGTACTAGAAGCCAACGCCCCCCTTCGTGCCGCCATACGTGAGGAAGGCTACAAGGTTGAGTGGATATACAATGCTTTTATGACTTCTTCGTCAAGATAAAATATTGTCAATACTACTACATCCTGTACAGCTTTAACGCGATGTCTTTGCCCTCACTTCGGCCAGCTCATGCGCGGTCCACACCAGCGCAACGGTTGACTCCGCTACGAACAAGCACTTGCAGCGTCTCTTTCCATAACGACACCACGCCTTCGACTCGACCCAGATCTGAGAATGACGCAGGTGATATGAACATCCTTCTCGTGCAGGAAGCAGCCGAGGATCGTCGCCGGCAAGCCAGAGCTGAACAGGCCTGGCGGGAAAGCTAGCAGCACTCGTATGAAGAAGACAATGAGACATCCCCATGGCTGAAGCACACTAGGTAGCCAGAGATATATCGGAACAGACCCCTTGATATCATCACTGCCTCGCAGAGGCAGCCCACTCGAGGTCCTTATCAGAATAGCGAAGGTTACTTGCTCGGACATTAGCGAGGTACGCCGCCACGTAGTTCAGCGGCAGCAGAAGCACAGTTATGGCTCTTAATGCGTGCTGTCGATAAGGTATTCGACCGTGCAAAGGCAACGCTAACATCCACATCCTATCGGTCCAGATGCTGGCTCTCGAGCCACTGGAAAAACAAGTTTTGGCATCGTCCGTTACGCATACTGCCGCCGTCGACTGAACAGAAATGCAAGTTATACTGGAAGCAGTTCATCTGTTATGTCTTTCGAGCGCTGGCTTGTAAACTAATCTTGCGCCGAGTAATTTATAACGTATCACTAAGTGTAGATAATGTAACGATGATGCGGCATATCTCGGGCCTGGTGTCGCAGCTACAAGAGGAAGTGGAGGAGGGAGAGGAAACGTCTGAAGGCGGTGCAGGAGTATCGAGTGACGAGGACGATGAGGACGATTAAGAGATGGATGATAAAGAAAACGAGAGCTACAGCGCGCAACACAGTGATGCGGAAGGCGAAGAAAATTCGGATCATGAAGAAGACAGCCAATACGAAGGAGAAGGAAAAGAAGACGAAGACGATATGCATGATGTGAATGGCACTTCAGAGCATATATTTCATCTTGCTACAGGCACTCGCCTCAAGCTTTGTGAGGCTCAATTTCAGCTGTCTTTGATGTTCTGGACGTACCAGTGCCAAGCCGATGTCATGTCATCATCAACTCTGGTACATTTCGTTGCAGTTATAGGGGTGTATCGCTCCTCTCTTGCCTTTCGTGATGCATACAACTCAACACCAATGCTTGCTGCTCTAATATGGGTAGGTCGACTATTTTTCCTTGAATATAGCCTGCCATTGTACAGCTACGACACCCTCGTCTACGCCTGGCCTGCTCGTGACGCTTACCTGTCTCAACCAACGCCCCTGGAGAAAATCACAGCCAAGTACATGTTACAAGGTTGCCATTCGCCACTTGGCGAGCCAATCAAGCTAAAGGCGATGGGCAGGAGTATTGTTAAGCGCGAAGGGGTACCAGGTAACCTTACATGGGCTCCAGATGGCCACTCACTCATTCACAATCGGCAACGCCAAGGTGGTGCGGCTGGTTGAATTTTGTACCACGTATCAGGCCGCCATCAGTAACGTACAAGAGAGAGTGGCGGAGATGATGTTGGAGTGGGAGCCTACAGTGGAACTATCACAGGTTCAGGACGATTTGACGTGTCGACTCCCGGGTGGTGCTTTCTCGATAAGACTGATAACATTCTAAGAAACGTGTACAAAGCAATGGCACATCGTGCATGGTCATCAACTTTTCGTGGCTAGACGCTTGCCAAAGCCGGCCACTGGTTACCAGGACCGTGTTCGGCGTACCTAAAAGCGGGCACAGAACTGGGAACGATGGCATTTACCGGTATTCATATCACACCACACCAACATTGCCCAACCGGGGTAAAGAGACAACAAGCATACGATTACGCAATACCAAGCTCGCAAAAAGAGACGTCTTCATCCGCGAGGGACAGCTTCTCGTAATCGTCAGCTATAACAAATCTCGTGCCTCGAATAATCACGCATTCTATATCGTACGCTACCTGCGTGAAGATCTTGGCTCTGCCATATTCCTGTACATTGCCCATATACAGCCATTTATTGACTTTTTCGCAAATCAGCTACAACTGCCACAATATCATAGCAACGAGTTCCTCTTCCCAGACCCAAAACACAAGGCAAAGCATCTGAACTCTATGCAGGCGACAGAGGCCCTTCGGTCCCTAACCCGACACCTACAGACGCCATGGACATTATCTTTATATCGACAAGCTGCAATCGCTATTGCCAAGAGATACATAAGTGAACTTATCAAAGAAAGAAACTTTTATTACCCATCCGAAGCGAGTACACCAATTCGGATGATTGCCGCAGGCGTTGGTCACCACCCTCGAATGCTGCTCACGTCATATGCCATTGACAGAGCTTTGCCGCCACGACTACAACCAGAGCTTCTTGAGACGTACCGCCAGTTGTCAACGCTCTGGCAAAGCTGGAACCAGAAATACTACGAAGAGCACTGCTCAGACCGGCAGAATACAATAATTGAGCGAGAGCAAAACTTAACAGTTGATACAAATGGGCTAACTGCTCGGCGGGAGAATAAGAGAGCGGGAAGCCCTCAACACGAGAGAGAAAACCGAAAGAGACAAAAAGTGAGCGTTGGAGATAGTACTGACCTTCTCGGTTGTTCTTCTTCTAATGTCAGCACGACTGAAACATTTGATGGATTCGTCTACAATGCAGAGTACCAGATCCTTATCTGTGTGGCTTGCGAGTCTGTCGTTAGTCCAGGAAGGCAGTCTCTCTACGGCCATTTAAACCGTCATCGGATCCTAGGTCCTCTTTGCAAGGCATATATCGAGCGGTTTAGCAGTCTTCAGCTTACGTCATTAAAGGAGCTTCCCCGGCCGCAGCAGATGATTCCTGCTATCCCTCATCTCCGAGTTTACAAAGCATTCCGATGTAATATTTGCTATTACTATACGACTCGATGGGCCCTAAGCCTTGATCACAAGTTAACACATAAACTTGGAGTTTCTCTAATGCAGGCCTGGAAAATGGGGAAAGATAAGAAATTGCTACGTGCAGACATTCTCGTCTGCGAGAGGGCGAATAGGATACTTCGAAGTCGAGGCGCCACAATCTTCGATTTAGCGGAAAATGTCGAAAGTGGATTTTTAAAGTTTGTTCGTTCAATGAAAGTTTTCTATTCATGAGTTATTACAAGGGCTCGGACTCGATACAATGTGTCGTAAATAGTGCATTATCTTTTAATAAGCCACGTGAAATAACATGTTAATAATCCACTTGAAACATCTGCGGGATGGGCCCCGCACCCAACAACTAAATCAATACACAACTTTTTTCTCACCCATGTTTAAGCACGTAAAAATGTGCGATATAATGTATAAAGTGTACTGCATTGCCACCCTATTCGGCTATGTGGTGTGATCTCCTTACCACCCTATATCCTTCTGGTGCTTGGGGAAAAAGCCTCCCCGTAGTTTGAGTCTATCAGGAATTTTGCTTGATAAGATATCTTGCGGCACACCTTGACAGCGTACTCATGCGCCTCATGTAGGCGGCAAAACTAATGTATTATTACTGGTTCGACTGTGGAGCGTACTGTGGAGAATAACGTATGCACCTCAGATCCTCCCACCCAAACAAAAACCTCCCTCACGACATCGTTCGCGGTCGCTTCGATATGGCCGACAAGGAGGCAATTGATAACTGCCATGAGACGCAGTCCAATAAATCGTGCTCCGGTAATACACCTCCCGATCGTCTAATTGACCTGCCTTTAACTCCTCCCGCCACGATCGAACCACACCTGCCGTCCATCGACGCGTCTGGCCCCTTTCTTCGTTTGCTTGAATCACGCAGCGATCGAGCAAAAACTGTCGACTCTGAGGGTTGGGTCGAAGTCTCTCTCGATCAGAAGCAATACGTCTCATTGCGTGGAAGCATCGAGCGGTCGTTTAAGCGATTCGATTACGACCCAAATCACGGTCTCCTCATTCTCCGTATACCTTCGCCTGTTCACGACTTCTTTGCGAATATCCTAGCCGACGACGTGCAAGACCGGCTTAACGACATTGCCAAAGAGGGAGGTGAAGCAGGCGCCTTCGCGTCAAGAATTAAGAGCGGAGGGTCGTCTACCATTCTTTTATTAGAAGGGGATTCCGAATTCTTTAAAAATATTCGTCGTGAGCCTGACGCCCAGTTTCGTCACCCTCGTGCCTATTATCCCGGTGTTGTGGTAGAGGTATCCTACTCGCAGGAAGGCAAGAGTCTACGAAAACTTGCCCAGGACTACATTCTCTACTCTAATGGAGATATTAAAGCCGTTATTGGCGTTAACATTAACTATAAAGGGAAACAATGCACTGTTTCAGTATGGCGTCCAGAATATACAAGGTCAGAGGATGGGAATATTGACGAACTAGGATTTACAGCAGTCCTATCACAAGAGGTACGTAGAAACATATCTATAGAGCAGGACGAGGCTGACCAAGCAGACATTTCGCTCCTTCGACGGATCCTTATGTAATGCAGAAAAGTGCCTCACTCTCAACCTCAGCGACTTCGCGACCGATGCACTAGCTATTGATTATAGGACATCATCAGTATCTATTACTTTCAGTAAACTCTTCGATATTCTCCAACAAGCCGAGGATATGGAACCAAACAGAGGATCTAATACGGCGGGAAGCGCTGTGAAGTCAGAAAGAGTAACGAGGAAGCGCAGACGATCATCCAGCCCAGAAGATCGGTTGCGTTCAGACGATGAACGCACGTATATTAACATGGAAAAGGCTGCCGAGGACAAAGCTAGTAAGGACGACGAGGATTTCATAGGTCCAATAACCAAGCGGAGAGTGAGAAGTTTCACTCAAATAAGATCTTCTACCGATCTATATCATGATCACAACCCGCAGTCGGGGCATGCCTCGCGCCCGGCGGACGGAAAAACTGGGAATCTCACCTGCGCAAGAAACCGCATTACATGATAGGCGAGCAGCTGCGCGGAACGATCGAGTTGCGGTCGACGTACGACCTGCGGGGATCGGAGGAATTGCGATAGCAGCGACCTTGTAGACGAAGGCCATGCGAAATTAGGGTAGGCGCGGAGATGCTTAGGTATTAGGTTAAGGCTAAGTAAGTTAAGGTTAGATTAGGTAAATGTCAACCGAAATCTAGATAACAAGGCCAGCTATCAACTAGTTGGGCTACACAGCGGGCTTCTAATAAGCCTAGCACCAAAAAACCCCTGTATTTATAGTGGGCTGGGGACCCTATAACCCGAATTACGTGTTAGGATAAACCTAGGATATGGGACGATTAGGTAAGGAATTAGAAAAGAACTCTATTCTTAGGTCTTTTAATAATATAAGATTAAAACTTATTTAAATTATTTAATATTT